CCTCTCACCACCGCTACCGCCGCCGCGCCTCAGGGCCTTAAAGGTTCGGGCCCGGAACGGGCGGCGCTGAGCACGGAAGCGCCGCGCGGCGGGAAGGGGCGGGGCCAGAGGGGGCGGGCCCAGGAGAGGGCGGGGTCTCCCGGGGTATTTAAAGGCGCAGACGGCATTTTTCCCCTCAGACGCGGCAAGGGAGAAGTGCGGGTGTGTGTAGGAGGGAATAAATTATTAAAGTTGGAAGAGATTCTCTAAAAGCTCCTTTAAGGATGTTGGTGGGTCTTGAGGAGAAGCCTTAAGAGGAGTGGCTGAGGTCACTTGGTTTGTTCATCTTGGAGAAGATGAGACTGAGGTTAAGCCTCGTTGTGGTCTTCACTATTCTTGTGAGGGGAAGAGGTGGGGCAGGTACTAACCTCTTCTGTCTCGTGTGATAAAGCTCGAGGAAAGGGCTGGAGCTGAGTCAAGGGAGGCTTACGTTGGATATCAGGGAAAGCTTTTTCACCCAGAGCATGGTGGAGCACTGGAACAGGCTCCTCAGTGCAGAGGTTGTGGCACCAAACCTGACTGAGCTCAAGAACTCAGATACATGGTGGGATCCCTGGGATGTTCTGTGCACTGTCAGGAGTTGGACCTGATGTTCCTGATGGGTCTGTTCTAACTCAGGCTATTCTGTCATTCTTTGTCAAGTCCAACTGTGTATCCAGCCCTGCCCCTATAATCCCAAACCACATCACCTAACACCTGATGTTTCCAGGGATGGTAACTCCACACCCCTCCCTGGGCCCTGACCACCCACACAGGAAAAACATTTTTTCTAATATCTAATCTGAATCTCTTATCTCAGTTTAAGGCTGTTTTTTCTTGTCTTCTCACTGCCAGCACAGTAGAAAAGAGTGACTGTACCTCATCACAATGGGCTCTCAGGTAATTGTGGGGAGTGATGAGGTTCCTCCCTGAGCCTCCTCTTCCAAACAAACTCAGGGTGCTGAGGGACCCCTTTACATGGAATTTGTGGGATGGAGCTGACTCTGAGTGCAGTCTCTGACGTTTCTGCACATCAACAAGTGTTGTGTTCTTCCCCCTGCTAAGTGATGGTCATAAGACAAATCTTGAAGGCTTTCCATATAAATCTGGAATAATTATAGTGCATAGGGAGAGAGCGCTGTCTGGTCCTTGCTACCCATGACCTGGCAGATACTCAGTTTCTGTAAATCTGTGTATAAAATGGAGGGTTAGCAAAAAAACCCCCAAAGTACTTAGAAGCTGAATAATGGCAAAATTATTGGATTTTGAGGTAATGTGCTCCTGGCCTTTCCCTGTGCCTTTAGGCTGAGACCATCACTTTTTTTTATTTTATTTAAATGTGCTCACTTACTACTTTCTGCTGGTACTTTGGCTGCTGCCCACTTTTGAGCCTTGTTCTCTTTTTGGTGCGGGTGTCCCATCATCTCTCACCGCAGGAAGAGGACAAGTAGGGAATCATATTTAATTAACAGTAAAGCTCCAGGCAGTTTTTCTTCTTAAGGTGGTTGATACGGGGAGAACAGGAGACACTGTTGAAATAATTTGATCAGATACCATCCAAGGAATTATTCATAAATTCATTATCAACTTTTACAGCTTATCCAAGTCAAAACTCGTGGGTTGCTCTTATTTTAGTGCCTGATTACTTGAATTTCAGAGCAGGGAAGTTGGGAGGAGCCCTGGTGCAGGCAGGAAATGGTTAAGAGCCTTTCCTATCACCTGGGAAAGCAATCCTTTGATTTTTCAGAGGGCGCTAACATGCTGCAGTTCATGGAAACAAAGGGAAGGGGATCAAGTAGAAAAGTTGTTCTTGGATTTTATTCTCAGTGGCAGAACTTGTGAGGGCTGGATATTGATGTCTGCGGGGAAAACAAGGAGTTTTTGAATTAAAAGGGTTTTTTTTTTTCCCTTATCGTCATTCAAAAAAAGGATCTGTGAGGTAAGTCTTGATTCCAACTGGTGACTTTAGATAACTTCTTTTTAGAGTGAGAGGTAAGAAAACCCTTTATCTTGCTGACCCATTTTAAAGCAGTGAATTCTTTGCTTAAATTGTTCCTCGGGCAGGGAGCACAGGCAGGAGCGTGAGTCAACAACTGCACAAAAAGCCCACGACGCTCGCCTGTGTTGTCTGCATTCAAATCGCTTGCATTAATTCCTGAGCTGGAGTATGGAAATTCAGGAACTGGGAGAAACATAATGAGTCAGGGGAATTTGCCACTCGGAGTTGCAGTAAATATTTCAGAGATGACACTCTTTCAAACTCTAGTAGTGGCTGTGTTAATGTGCTTTTGCAGTGGATGCTTCAAGCATCTTCTGTTGGTGGCTCTTAAAGTAATTCCCAAACCTTGTCTCTTGAATCCTCATCGCTCTCCCAAAGGTTTTGTATTTCCAGCTCCTGTAAGGACGATGCTGATCCCTAAGGGCAGATTCATTTTGGGGGGTGTAAGAGAGTGGTCTCAATTGCCATTAATTCTTTGCTTGTCTGCACCCGAGTTCTCACTTTAACAAGTGCTGCTGAGTTTTGTGTGTGCGTGAAAACATGATTTTTCACCCCAGCGTGGCTGCCCCAAGTGTGGTGGGTGGTGACAGCTGTCAGTGAGAGCCGGTGCCACGTGGAGGGAAGTTTTTACACACCGTGGAGAAGCCTGCAAAACCCCATCCATTCACCTTGGAAATGCTAAAGCGGGAATAAATCACACTCTCACTCTGGGGCAGCTTCTTCCTTGAGGTGTTCGTCTACCAGGTGCTGAGTTCTGGTGGATTTATGGAGCTCGGTGTGTGTGTGTGGTGATGCTGATTTCACTTTTTTCTCCCCAGTTGCCTGTGAGTGAGTGGTTTGTGCTGAGTGGGTTCCTCTCCACGTGGATCAAAGCGGAGCTGTGGCACAGATCAGCATCGCTCCTGCAACACTCACCTGGCCAGTTCTTCCTGCTCTTCCCATTCCCACTGCACCCCCACGCTTTGCTTCTGCTTCCTCATTGTCCAGGATGGAGAACACTCAAATCCAGAGCTGCTGGGTGTCCCTCCTTTCATTTTAGGCACCAACAGAGAATTGGGACTGTTTTGTTCCTTCACATTTTATTCCCCATCGCTGCCTTTCTGTTCCCCTCCCCACACCAAGCTTTTATCATCTCCCTGTGCTTGTTCCCAGCTCCTGAACTCTCTGTTCCCAGATTCTGGCTGGGCAGGAATCTTTTATCACCCTAACCTATTTTGCATTCATGCTCTGATCCATCACATTTTGCTTCTTCTGGATCTCTGTGGCACCTGTAGGAATAAATCACTGGAGCTGGGTGTCAGGAACTCTGCCTTGGAGCGCTTGATTCCCAGTTAAAGGCTGTTGTCAGCAGGGATCTTGGGGAGGGATTGCTTTTGCATTTACAAAAAAAAAATGCAAACCCAGTTTGTCTTTTTTTTTTCAGCAAGATTTCTCTTACATGAAAAAGCTTTTTTTTTTTTGTAAAGTCTTGTCTGCTAAGTGCTCTTGCTTCTGTCGTCAGGATCTGACATTCCTTTCAGCTATTCAGTGTGAAAACCCTTTCCAATTTCTTTACCAGTGCTATTGATTAAAATGCAGTTTACTTTTCTGGGGAAAATTTGATATTCAAAAATGTCTTTTTGCTGTGAGTCAGAATGTACTTTTCCATGGAATAAAAATTCTGGAAAGAACAAAAAAAAAATGCTATTGGAAATGTTGAACAAATTATATTGTCGTTTCAACCTGGTTATATAAGAAAAAAGAAATAACTTCAAAGTCCAAGTGAAAAGCTCTGGTATTTTTCTCATATTTTGAGAAAATTAGTGCATTTTTCTCCAGCTGCTCAATTTTATCTGTTCAGAATTTTCCATATGAAACTCTGAGAATGTTCTGTACTGGCCCTAACTCCAAGTTCCTGTTTAACTCAGCTCGCTGTTTCAGGTTACATATTAAAAATGAATTATGAAGCTTTTTTTCTCCTTTGTTTTCAGCCATTGATGTTTCTTCTAGAAACTAATAAAACTATTTCCAGTTTTGTGTAGAAATCTGTAGTTCTCAGGCTATAAATTCTCTATCCAATGGCACAACTATTTACAGTTCTGAGGAAAACTAGATGGGAAAGAGCTTTGGAATGCAATGGGTTAAAATTTAATTTTGCAGATTAGAGATCAGAAAATGTCTGTGGTAGTATGCTGCTGGTTTGGATGCCCTCACATGATGTTCTCCCTGTCAGTATTGCTGTGGTAATTTTGGGAGTTTTCAATATTCCCTTTTTCCTTTATTGAAAACGCTGCTGTGCTGAGTAGAAAGGACCTGAGCTCTGCTCAGTTGGGTGCACTGAGCTGCCTGAATTACAGAGGAAAGTTTGTGGCAAGATCTGGTTTTCAATCTAAAATACCATCCCTGAGGAGAAAGGTACCCTGGGGGTGATGGGATTTGGGCTCTGCATGTGCCATTCCTTGGATTTCTCTGGTTTTTGGTGGTGTGGCCTCTCCTGGGCTGGTGGTGGGTGCTGCCAGAAGGGACCAGCATGAAGGGGAGTCCTTTGAGAGTTTAGGTCCCTCCAGTCTCGAGGACAATGCTGTCACATTGTTTTGGGGGAAGTTCAGAACGAGAAGTGTCACCCTGTGTTTTTCCAGCACCGTAATATCCTGATTATCCCTGAATTTTCCTCAGTCTGGAGCTGCATCAAGCCTATTATTCCTTGTCCTGAAGAGCAGCCATTATTACAATGTCTCGCCACTCAGCCTTTCTCTGTTCTAACCAGTGCTTTCACCTTACCACAGATGATTTTCTAGCCCTTGGACCTCTCCTTTGGACTCTCTCCAGTTGTCTTCCCAGCTCCAGCAGTGGTGCCCCAAACCCAAACAGCACAGAAGCTCCACCAGAGCCAGCTGGAGGCAGAGGACTCCCCAAACTGGTCCCAGTGGTGTCAGAAGGATGAATTTCCTCCTGAGCTCATCTTCCCCACTCTGAGTTGTCTCAATCACTCGTTCTCAGCTCTGCCTTTGATGTCCCTATGATTTGGTAACTATTTTATCTGTCCCCTGCCTCGAATTCCCTGTAATCTGTAAAGAAAAACTTCCAAATCTATTTCACCTCCTATTTAACTGTTGAAAATTTGTCATTTTCATTACATTTGCAAGCCAATTTAGAGCTCAGCAGAAAAAAAAAGAGCAAAATATTTTATAAAATCCTGGAAAGTGCAGGCAAATGGAAATTTTCAGTTTAAACTGGAGCTTTATTTTGGAATTCCTCAAGGGGAGACTGGAATTTTGCCACACTGTAATAGTCTTAGATTGCAGGAAAGCAGGAATGCCTGAGTCTCTTGCCCTGTACAGTTCACAGATTCTCACTGCATTATACAAGTTTGACCTGTTAATTTTATAAAGTAAAAAGTAGGAAAAACCTTTACAGGCTGATTTCCTGTGCTCAGAAAGAAATGCCTGTGAACTCCCTGGAGCAGATCCATACCATCATTTAACTCCAGCTTTCAATATTTGGTTTCCACAAAACCCTTGTGCCTGTGGAAACAGCATCTCCTCAGTTTTTGGGGTGGAAAGAGGTGATTACATTTAGAATAGATGGAATTTTCTGTCAGCTTCTGCAAAATTAAATTAATTTCACAAGAACTTCACAGGGAAAATTCCTGTTCTAAATCACTTTTATCATCATGAGTTAGTAGCACAAGAGAATGTGGTAAATTCAGCTGAATTTCAATGTGTATATTCTTGGTATTTATATAATTTCAGGGAGTTAAATTCTCATGTTATAAAGAAATCCAATAGTTTAGTGGCTAAAGGAGCCATAACTGATGGAAAAGGATAGTGTTGGATTTGACATCATAAAGTTTAGCTGCATTTTCTCATGTTCTACTGAGTGGAGATGCTGCAGAGACCCTCGAGAAAGAGAATTTTATTTGTAATAGCCAAAATCTGAGAAAAGACAGCAATAACATTTTCTGAGCAGCTTAAAGGGGCAAGCTAATTTTAAAAGTTTTTCTTTCAACATCCCTATTAGACACCAAAAAATATATCTCTAAAGGTATTTATTCTGCGTGTTTGGACTCATCCTACTTTGGAATCTAACCAAGAAAATGCTGCTGAATTTCCATCCCTCGATGTTTGATTTCAGGTGTGGCTGCCCTCATCAGCTGAAAAATATGTCCATCCGAGGCCTGAAGAAGAAACAACCAAAGACTTTTAAAGTCAGAATTATAACAGTGGATGCTGAGATGGAGTTCAGCTGTGAGGTGAGAGAGTCAGCAAATGCTGGGGAGTTGGGAAGTGCCCTTGGTATTAGCAAGAGATTTGAAAAATTCAGATGATCAACTCGTGGATGGTCTTAAAACTCATCTGTTGTTTTTATAAATAATGGATTATTTAATCTCAGGTGTTGTTCTTCTCTAAATTCTGTTCAGAATTTAAAGCTGTTTGCATGAAATCCATTTGACTGACACAGCTAAATTAACACTAAACCTGCTTTCTTCAAAATCATTCCAAATGTTTGTAGGGATTCCTACTTCTCCATGAAATTATTATTATTTTTTTTTTGGAACTGACACAACTCTTTAGGACACTTCTATCTTGGATAAACTGGTCAGAGCTGGTGCTAAGGTGTTGCTTATAAAATAATTTATAAACTGGTACTTTTGTTGATCTGGGACATTCTTTTCCAATTTGCCATTTCAGTTCTTTACCTGCAGTGGGTGTTTGGATCTCTGAGCAGGAGCGGAAAAAAGGACTGATGGAAAAGCTGGCAGTTCTATTAATTATGCCTATCTGATAAATTGATTAGGGAAATCATGAGTAGAGAAAAAATAAATGATCAATTGCTAAATAAATTGGGCTGCACTATTGAAGGGACAGAACGGTCCCTGATTAATTAATTCCTAATCATGCAGCAAAAACAAGGCACACAGGTATTTTGGGGAGTTAAAAAACTCAGTTCCAATGGGACTGGCAGTTTTACTGAGACCTGACTGTTCTGTGAGCCATTTAATGTATTTTATTAGGTCCTTCAGAAACAGAACAGATAAATCTTGTATGACTTGCTGCTCTGGAGTACTTGCAGGCAGCGCTGTGAAAATAAAGGATTTAGAAAATTTAATTTAGAGATCAGAGTCCTTGTTAACTAATTGTATATTCCTTCTTTTGCTACCTCTCTTTTCTCCCCAGACACTGCTCTTTTGCTGGGATGATTTCCAGCTTTCCACTCAAATACTGCCTAAAAGTTCACTTTTTTTTTTAACCTTTCAGTTTTAGCAATTAGATAAAATCACCTTTCTGAAATGTGGTCAAATGGAAGAAACAGATGAGCAGCCTCTTGGTGGAAGAAACAAGGCATCAGATGTGTGGGAATTTGGGACCTTGAATCAAAGGTTGCTCTCTGTGGCTGCTAAATTGAAATGAAAACATTTAGGAAGACTCATTTAAATCAGAATGGGGTAAAGGCTTGGCCTGGTGCCACTGAAATACCTGAGGGGTGTGAAAGGTGGATCTGCTCTCATTGTTCACCATTCCTACCCCACGTCATGATTTGGTTTCCCCTGGCTTTCTCTCAGTCTCTCCAATTTGTATAAACCATTGAGTTAAAATTTTGGACAAATATTAATAGAGATTTGCCACATCCCAGGAAATCCATGGTACAATCCTCGTTCCCTCAAGTTCTTGGTGGTTAAATGAGTCCAGCTGCTCTCTGGATGTGTCTGGAGAAGGAGAGGAGGTGGAACACAGCAACTCTGACACAGCTGCAAGAACATTTCATTGAAAACCTAATGGTGAAATAAGATTTCATAGGACAAAGGGCTAAAATGGAGTAAATTCATTTAGGATATACATGATTTTCTTGATTTTTCTCTCTTTCAGATGAAGTGGAAGGGAAAGGATTTGTTTGACCTGGTGTGCCGAGCCCTTGGTTTAAGGGAGACTTGGTTCTTTGGCTTGCAGTACACAATTAAAGGAATGTGCACCTGGTTAAAGATGGACAAAAAGGTACAGGAGACAAAAATGGGTGGCAATTAATTATTTACTTCATAAATATTGACTTTCTGCAGCACAGGAGCTAAAGGGATGTATTCCATGACAACTCTGAATTTGACATGGTAGCTTTTTTTGAAGGCAAAAATAGGATTATTTGCTCTGATTGCTTCTATCCCATTTGACCTGGAGCATCCCACACTAATCACCACTGATTGCTGTTAGATTAAAGCTCAGAATTACCCTTCCCTCTAAAATATGGGAAGCCTGCTCTAAGTGGATTATTGCCTGCTTTCTGATTTTCCTTGGGAATATTACCGTGAGACACTCATGTATCCTTTTTTTACTGTTGATTTGATTTTATTTTATCTGTAAACAGGTTTTAGATCAAGAAATCCCCAAAGAAGATCCCATTAGCTTCCATTTTTTGGCTAAATTCTACCCAGAGAAAGTAGAAGAGGAACTCTTACAGGAAATTACCCAGCATTTATTCTTCCTTCAGGTCAGGAACAGTTTTGAACCATGAATTCCTTCTGTATTTCCCCCAGTCCTTTTGCATTGTCTTTGATCTTGTTGGCAGCTCGGGATAATTTTGCTTGCTTCAGCTGTATCAAGAACTTTGTAGACATTATTTTTATGAAATACAAACATCTCTCCTGCCTGCTGTGGGTTTCTGTCCAGGTGAGCTGAATGTTTCATCTTCTGCAGATTTTCGTGACAACACCCAGCAGTTTGGGGGGTAATTCCAAACCTGATTCATTTTAGACTGTAGGAATAAAAGATCATGGAATTTGATAGGCATTCTGAAATCCAGGTTTGTTCACCTGGCAAGGCTTAAGAGGAGCAGAGCAGCAGACACTATTTGAACTCCATCAAAAAGCAGATGAAGCAGAACATTTTTGGAGCTTTATCAAAAATAAAGATGGATCAACCAGGAAAAGCTTCACAGCTGATTTTGGGATGGTCACTTGCAATGTCTGGGACATCCAGCTTCTCTCCTGAGTTGCTGTGGAGTCTCTCTGGAAATTTCAGCCTCTGGAATGTTGCTTTATTCCAGCAGGATGTGTCTGTGCAGGTAGCTGGGATATAAAGTCTGCAGCTGGAAATAAACCCAGTAAATTCCCTTTTCCCCTGAGGAAGATGTGCTAATGAAATAATGGGGAAATGCTGCAGCTCTGGTGCATAAACCCACCAAAACTTCATCCAGAACCTTTAACCACGTGATAATTTATTTCTTCAGGTAATTTTGGAAAGGAATAAGAACAGCAGAATTCTTTTCCTCCTCTTTTAATCTTGATTTTTCCACTTTTTTTTTTCCTTTTCTCCTCAAACCTGCCTTAACTAGCAGATATGCAATTAGCAAATTCTTCTCATTCCAAAGTAGACAAACAAGGCTGAAACAAATTTGAACTTGCAAAGTTTCCTGACTGTAAGAACTTCAGCTCACACCTGGATGCTAATAGGAAAAACATGTACAGACATCTGGATGCCTGAAGATTTCAGCTCTCCTGACTCTTCAGACCTTTGCAAATTAATGTGGCTTAAATGCCTGAATAAATGTCAATGACTAAAGCTAAATATTGTCTGCTTAATGAGGTAATTTATTGCTTCTTCATGAAGTTTAACAAAAAGTCTTTGTAAAAACTGATAAGAAAAAAAAACCCCAAACAACAGTGACACTTATGGGGGATTTATCCACATTGTTCTAAATTCTGGTGCATGATTTGCACAGTGGAGAATGAAAGCTGGAGCTTTCCAAATTGGAAGAAAAATATTTTCATTCTTTCCATTTTAATGGCTTAGAAAGAATGTTCCCTGCACTGTAACTCAGCTTCACTGATTGTGCTCACCAGGGACTAAATTTAAAAGCCAAAACTTTCTTGGTGGTTCATTTCAGTTCCCAGCACTTACAGAGATGTGTTTGTAAACAGAACTTGTGCTAGATGAAGTAATTTTTCTATTTGGAAATGTCTTAGACTGTGAGCTATGCAAAATTTTGTCGTTGTCTTGTGCTTGTTCCTAAGCTAAATACACCTGAGAGGAGGATTTGGGAAGATTGATTTCCTCTTCCCTCTTTAGGTTTTCAAACAGAAATTGCACAACTGATTTAAAATCAAACAACACCTTACAAGCTTTTACACTTCTGCTCTTGGTAGCACCACAGGTTATTAAAATGAAAAGAATGTTGAAAGACTCTTTAGCTCTGATTGTGCTTAGACCATTGCAAATGAATAAATTAAATGGTTTATTATTCAGCTTCTCTTTTGAGGGTCTCCTTTATTCTCTCATTCTGGAATGCTGGAGAACATCTCTGATGGTTTTTATATGGCAGCTGCACAGCCCTGAGTCTGCTCTGCTTGGACCTGACCTCCAGAGCTCCCTCCAAACCTAAAATTTGATATCTGATGTGATGCAAAGCTGACTTTTCCAAAGCAGGCATTAAAAAAAAAAAAGAAAAAAAAAAAAAAGATTGTTAAAAGAAATGAAGCACAGACAATAAAATTGATATTTTATAGGGTATTCTTTTATAGGACTCCTTATGTAAGTGTGTGGAGGGAGCTGACTGGCATTTTTGGTCTCATTAAATGCAATGCTAACTAAAGGCTTCCTGTGTTCCTGAATGCAAATTTCTTGTTGCTCTTATTAACTCCTAAAGGTGATATTTGGTGCCAAGTTATAGTCTGGGCATGTCTGCTTTCATTTCAAGCCTGACTTAAGTCCTGACTTTGAGCTTCTTGAACCTGCTCCCTTTTTCTGTTGCTTTAGGTTAAGAAGCAGATCCTGAATGAGGAAATCTATTGCTCACCAGAAGCTACAGTTTTACTGGCATCTTATGCTGTTCAGGCCAAGGTTTGTGCATAGAAAATCTCTTTTTTAATTGACTTTTTTTCTGGTTTAACCAACACATCTGCCTGGTGGTGTGTAAAACACAGCAGGATTAAAATTTGCTGGTAAAGTTGGTCATCCTGGGAGCTACAAGAAAAAAACCCCAACGTTAAATGCTACTAACTGCTAAGGATTTTTTCCTATGCTACTGCAATTTAGGGGATTTATTTGGGCCTAACATTTTAGTTTAATCTTTCTCCAGGCTAGAATGATTTCCTGTTGTTTCAAAAATTATCATGGATGCAGAATGTGCTCAAACCAGAGCTCACAATGGGAGGACACAAAGATTTTTTTGTGTCTCTCAGAGCTCTGTTCCCTTCTTGCCACCAAGAGCCCAACTTACACAATTTAGGTGAACAATTTAGGTGAATTTAGCCCTGCTAAATTGTGCAGCAGCTCCCATTCCTCTGCTTCAGAGGGAGAATTCCTGGGAGATTCCTTCAGAGCTGGGGTTTCCAGGTTGGGGACTGAAGGTTTTCCAGGTTGGGGACTGAAGGTTTTCCAGGTTGGGGACTGAAGGTTTTCCAGGATATGACTGAAGGTTTTCCAGGATATGACTGAAGGTTTTCCAGGATATGATTGAAGGTTTCCAGGTGGGGATTGATGTGTGAGTGGCTCAGTGGCTGTGTTGGAGCCATCTGCATGGCACAGGGGCTGGAAAGATCTTCCATGGACTGCTCAGATAAAGGGATGAGTGCAGGGGAATCAAAATCTGCCTCAAGCTTTCACTTCAAACTAAGCAAGGATCAACTCCCTCAACATTCTGCCTCTAACAAACATAAACATATTTTTTTTTTCTTGTTTTTTTGGACAGTATGGTGACTACGACCCAAATTTCCATGAGCCAGGCTTTCTAGCCCATGATGAGCTGTTACCCAAAAGGGTGAGTCTTAATTTTATACAAAATCAAATCTTTGAATCTCCTCTTTGCAGCGCAGAATCTTTGGCTCTCCTCTTGCAGATATTGCTGGGGATTAATCAGAGCATTAAAAACTCTGCAAATTGAGCAAGCTGTGAACTGTAGCTCTACATTCAGAGAGGCAGAACTTGGATTTGGATCTTCACATGGGTCCAACCTCTTTCCTTCCCCTGCAGGTGCTCAGGCAGTACCAGCTGACAGCAGAGATGTGGGAAGAGAAGATCACTGCATGGTATGCTGAGCACAGGGGTATTGCCAGGTAGGAAACCTTTACATGGAAACCCCATACATTTATTTATGGGATTTGTTGTCTTCAGTGTAATTCAGCCCATCTGGAAATCCAATTAAACAATAAATAGGATCTGGTAGCATCCAAAAGCAACTTTTCCTAATATTTGGGTTCTGCTTTCTCTCTGTTCTGGAGGCTTCTTAGCATTATTTTTGTTGAATATTTCCCTCAAGATTTACTGATTTACTTTGAAGGGAGAAGAAAAGTGGGTAGAGAGAGTCTCACTCTTCTTTGGCCTTGGCTAGAAGCTCTGTCCAAGACTCATTTCTCAATGAACTCTATTTCCTGAAGGAAATATATTCATGGAAAACAATGGAAGGATGGTTTTCCAAGACATGGAGTGGCAAAACTAACACAAGGATAAGACTTTTAATGAATTTTAATGAAGGCTACACTATCCATGAGTCATCTTTTGAAATAGGTGCAACTTCACTGCCTTTATTCTGTCCAGATGCTGTTTTTATTATCTTTTTTTCTATTATTGAGAGCAAGATGGCAAAACTAAAGTAAGTTTGTACAAAGGGCCAGATTGCCTGTTCTTTTCTAAGTGAGAAATGGAGAGTCAGCCTGGAGAGAAAGACTGGAAAGGCATTTCATAATCATGGCTTTATTCTCCAGGGATGAAGCTGAGATGAACTACCTGAAAATTGCCCAAGACTTGGAAATGTATGGTGTCAATTATTTCCCAATTGCTGTAAGTGCCTTATTTTAGCAGTTTTCACTTGCTGCAGATAATGGTGCTGTCCTTTTAAAATCCTCCAGGGAGTTTGGAACTGGGACTCCTGATTTCTGCTTTTCCCTGCTGCTGGTTTTGTTCTGACTTGGTTTTCTTGCCTGCTAAATGAGCAGGCGAATAAAACAGTTAAGATTAATATTTTACAACCTGACAAAAGTTTTGAGTAACTCCAGGTATGGAAAAGGAAGGAGAAATAGTTTGAGCTGCTATAAGCAGCCTAGAGAACTGAGTTTATCATTGCCAATGACAGCATTCATAATACTTTATATAAACACCAATTTCCCCAAATACAAATAAATATAAATATATTAAAATACATGTTTCTTGTCTGTGGCTGTTTAATATCACCAAAAATGCCATTTACTGATCTCTCTTGGTTTTTTTTTTTTTTAGCAAAATAAAAACCACACAGATCTCCTGCTTGGAGTTGATGCCAAAGGTATTCATATCTACAGCATTAATAACAGGTTCTCCCCCAATAAATCCTTTGAGTGGAGCTCTATCAGAAACATTTCCTGTAGTGAGAAAGAGGTATGATGGCTTTGATATATTATTCTTTTTCCATGGGCATGGGTGTGGACTGGGATTCTTGGAACAGGCTGAAAGCTTCCTCTGTTGAAATAATTTTGGGGGAGAAGGGGAAAATCCTGGGGAGCTTTGTTACAGAACTAAAAATAACAGCCCTGCCTTGCAGATGAGCTCGAAACCTTGGTTCCCCGAGGCTGCTCTGAGCTCTGACTGTTCTGGCTCCTTCCCTGCTGCTTGGCCTTTGCAAAACAAATGTGTTGATCTCTGAAAAAGACAGATATTATGAATGCCACCGTGCCTGGTTTCCTCAGTTATCCCAGCAGGAATTCCATGATCCATAAAACCTTAATGCTGTTTGCACATGCAGAAGCTGAGGCTTGGAGCCCAGTGGCAAGAGGAGACATGCAGGGAGATATTAATGGTTTTCTGCCTCACTTCTGCCAGTTTGTTGGGACATGATTTCATTCCCCACCACTGCAATTTCACTGTGAAACCCAGCTTTTACTTCTAGAAAGTGAAGAAGTGGGAAAAAATATATTTTCAGTTCAAATCATGGGCTGCATGGAAGGCTATAATCAGAAAAAACAAACTACAGTGGTACTGGAATACATGGAATTTGCCAGCCAAAGGGCAGCACAGCCTGTTCCATTTTCTCTGGGCCTTTTGGAAAATGGCCCACAGAAAATTGAGATCTGAAACTGAGATGAGATTTTAGACTCATGTCCATTAAATCAGAGGGGACTACAGGTTTGCTACCTCCAAAACTGTTTTGATGTCATCAAACATCCCCTGAGATCTGTGAATAAACTGCTTAACTCCCTGTTGGGGGGAAATTGGGCAGCCCTGTGTTTAAGCTTCGCTTTGTTCAGTGACACATCACAGCCCTGCTCCTCAAAAGGCAGCCAGTCATTACCTAGAGGGTGAAAGGAGCTCTAGGACATTATGATCCTGGTGACTCAGATGCCCTGGAATTATACAGGAATTACCTTGGAAATGAATTAGAGGAATAGACTGCCAGGGAACCTCTGAGGCACAGAAAACAGGGCCTTAAAATAAAACCAACGTATTTTGTTCTGCAGCCAAACAGAGCAGAAGGTATGGAGTGAAGCACTGAGCTGGCAGCAGGAAAACCCTGCCTGGCCTCTGGGAACAGCTTGGGACTGAAAAAGTGAGGAAGTCTCCAGGACTTTCACCTGCTGCTCTAAAGAACAAGTCCCTAGGCCCTTGACACATGTGCTTACCCCTTCAATTGTTGCTGTTCTGAGAGGTGTTGGACATTTCCCTCCAGGTCTGGTTCAGCCAGGGCTTGTTCCAGAGCTCTGGGGACAGTGGGCAGTGCACAGGTGGCATCAGGAAAGCCCCCATCCACACTGGCACTGGGTGTTGATCCTCCAACACAGCCTGATTCTATGGAGAAAAACAGTTTGACATCACTCTGCCTCTATTTGTGGCATAAATCACTGCTTCCCCAGAGAGAAGTGGAGATGAACTTGAGTTTGCATTGGTTTTAATAGTTTCAACTTATTTTCTTCCTCACTGTGCTTCCTTTCTTTTTTTTTCTTTTGCCTTTGTAGTTAACTATTAAACCCCTTGACAAAAAAGCAGAAGTCTTCAAGTTCTTTTCCTCTCAGCTCAAAGTGAACAAACTGGTGAGTTAACTGCTTTCCTGTTTTAAAGCTGACTGAGAAAGATTGTTTGTAAACAAAATTGTCATCTTGGGATCTCAGCTGAGATCAGCCTGTGTAATTCAGGAAAATGGGATCAGAGGGAGGTGAAGGACAGAAGGAATTTCTCATCCTGTTACAAACTTGACCTGAACTGTTGTGTGCCTGGCTATGAGCCTGCCCTGGGTGCTGATTTTCTTGGAGCTGCCAGCACTTGTGCTGAAGTCAAAATTGTCCTGTGAGGCCAGCGTGGGCCTCTTTGTCCCTCTGGCAGGGGCACAAGTCCATCAAAATCCCATTTGTTTTGCCTTTCCCATCCAGATTTTCCAGTTGTGCATTGGAAACCACGACCTATTCATGAGGAGGAGAAAAGTGGACTCCATAGAGATCCAGCAAATGAAAGCACAAGCCAGGGAAGAAAAAGCTAGAAAAAAGGTAGATGCTTCCTGCTCCTCTGTTGTTGCAAAAAGTGATTATTATTATTGCAGCTGTGCCCTTGCTGCTCCTGTATTCCATCAATGTGTGTGTGGGAGGTGAGGAGGTGCAGCAGGAGTGGATGTGGGAACAGCTCTGTGGCATCTGAGGTCAGAGGCGTTTGTGTGGAGAGGTGATCCCAAAGATTTGGGGCACAGAACAGCTCAATCCAAGGGCTCTCCCAGCAGTCTGAAATAACCAGGAGTGCCTGACTGAGGAGTTCAGAGCTGCCAAGTTCAGGCAGCTTCAGCATCTCTGCTGAGCATCCCAGCTGGAGAGCAGCCCCTTCTGCATTTGATGCATTTCACTCAGGCCCAGGTGAGATTCTGCTGCAATCCCACCAACTATTGCTCATCCTCCTTCCAGATGGAGAACCAGAGGCTGGCCAGGGAGAAGCAGCTCCGAGAAGAAGCTGAGAGAGCCAAAGAAGAGCTGGAAAGGCGCCTTTTCCAGCTGGAAGATGAAGCCAGGCAGGCCAATGAGGCCCTGGTGAGTTAAACTGAATATTCTTGTGCATGATGGGCTTTGTTGGTTTGGAAGCAGGAATTTTTTTGACACCAGGAATTGTAGCTCAGACAATGCTGGAGAGTTTCTGATCACTGGTGGAAAGGGCATGCAGGAATCCTTGGGAAAATCCTGATCTGCCATGATCTGGGAGCCATTCCCTCCCTGCATTTGGCTCACAGTGTTCTCTTCAGGCTAAGAGGCAGGGAAAGGAAACAATCTTGGAGGTGAAATTGGGAGAAAGAGACAACTGAAGGAGCTGCCTTCAGCTTTGTCCAGCTGTAAGATTTTTCTCCTTGCTTTGTAGAGATTTTTCTCCTGCTTTACAGGAAATTCTGGAGCAGAGAAGAACATTAGACCCTGAAATTGTCTGAGTTTTATTTAAGAAATAATGTTTTATCACTTGATCTCTTGCTAAAAGATGTCTCCTGCCTGCCTGCAGGGGTGATTTAGTAGGTTCTAGGCAAGGAACTAAGAGAAATTCTTTCTCCTCAGCTCCGATCCCAGGAAGCAGCAGAGCTGCTGGCTGAGAAAGCCCAGATTGCAGAAGAAGAAGCCAAGCTGCTGGCCCAGAATGCTGCAGAGGCTGAGCAGGAACGCCAGAGGCTGGAGATCACAGCTCTGAAAAGCAAGGAGGAGAAGCGGCAGATGGAGCAGAAGATGCGGGAGGCGGAGCTGATCGCGGTGAAGCTGGTGAAGGAGTCTGACAGGAGGTGGGGTTGGCTTCCCTGGCACTGTGTGCTCTCAGCTGGGCTGCAGAGAGTGCTGCTTTCCTCAGAGCCAAGCCCAAGACAGGGGAATTATTCCTTCAAGTGGCACTTCAGAGGGTCTGAGCCTCCTTGTGCCTTGTTTATTCCACCTGGATGCTGTTGTTATATTGCACGTCAAGTTTAGAGAGGATCAGATGCAAAGCTGTAGAGATATTTAGCAAGAAAGATCCAGAATCCAAAAGCATCTTCTGTTTAGTGTTATCAAATGAGCACTGGCTACATATCTAAATTTACTCTTTATACCTGTGGGATATGAGGCTGTTTTCATTCATTAGTGAATTAGCCAAGTGAATGGTCTCTTGTTTCCCTTTCAGATCTTTAAGAAGTGGAAAACCAGGTAAACTCATGTGGAATATGAACCACTCTGAGTGTTTGCATGTTCCCTGAACGTGCAGAGCAAGCCAGTGTTGAGAGAGGATTTTTAACCCTATTATTAAGAAATCCTTCTACTTGTTTTAGGATACTGCCAAGAAGCTTGCCAAAATAAAGAGAAACCTCTCCCCACCTCAGGGAGGATCTCTGATGGCCTGGAGAGACAATCTGTATCAGCAGGTTGTAACTGAGCCCATGGAAATTTGGGGTAGGAAAACCATGTTAATTCAGCCACTGTGTGCAGGAGTGTCTCTGGTCTCTGTCCTGCTGTGCCTGCTCAGTTCTCTATGTGACCATCCTCCCACGAGTGCCTTGGTGTAAAGATACCACAGTAGTGGACTTGTTCTCTGGAAGTTAGAGAGCTCTGAAATCCATGTGTTGGTTGGAAACCATCAGCCTCTCCCCTCAGGATGTTTCTCTTCCAGAGCCAAGGAAGCCGAGCACCTGAAACAAGACCTGCACGAAGCCCGGGAGGCCGAACGCAAAGCGAAGCAGAAGCTCCTAGACATTACCAGGCTTAATTATCCTGTAAGTTCTGCTCCACTGGACACCACTTCATCTTCAGGGATGGTCAGGTGTTGACATTTGTATAGCCCCCATCAAGCTGAGTGGTGGCATGGCTGCATCCAGCTGGGGGACAAAGCGGTGTGGAAAAGCAGTGCAATGAGGATGGAAGTTGGGTTTGTTCAGGATGGTGAGAAAGGCAAGGCAAAAGTTAAAACCAGAACTGGTGATGGACTTAGGGAGCAGAGGCTGTGTTGCCTTCATGCCTAACTCGTGGTGCCTTTTCAGCCTGGCAGTTTTTTGTGGCACAAATGGCTGTGCTGAGCCAGCTGTGTCATCCTGGCACATCCATCTGTCTTTAGGCAAAGCAGGGGAAGTTGTCCCCAGTGAGAAGGCACTGCTGAACTTCTGTGGCCCAACTCCCTCTTCTGCTCCAGCCCTGCCTAGGCTGGGTTTCCATTCTCTGCTGGAACAGAAAGACTGCAGCCAGGATAAATCTCTGCTCTTGGATCTGTGGGTTGTGGGCTTCAGCTGGGTGCAGAGGAAGGGCTATAGGAGCATCTGTGTGTCTCAGAAACTTAGGAAATAGCTCAACATGGCATTCTTGCAGAACTGAGGAGACAAATCCCAAATCAGTCCATCAGAGCTGTGACAGTGCTTGTGTTGCCTCTTCCAGCACATGGCCAAGTACCCCCAGTACTCCCCAGGGGACAGCAGAGATGCCAACTTTGACAAAGGATCCATCAAGCTGGATTTGAAGGACATCGACCTCAAGAGACTGTCCTTTGAGATAGAGAGAGAGAGGTACCAGCATGCCTGTGGTGCAGATGAATGAGAAAGGCAATGAAATCTTTGGGAATCACAGTTCATCTTTTAATAATTTGGGATGTGCATGTGGCAGGATGCCTTTTACTGAGCTGGTGTGGGTGATGTCTGTGTCAGACTGGCTTTTCACACAGGGGAAGGGTTTTTTGGTGGCATCAAGCCATGATAAACCCAGAACCTTCTTTCTTGGGGAGGGAAAAAGCCCATTTTCCCACAGCACGTGGGAGGACAGAAGTTTCCCTCTAGTGCTAAAGTGTGGAATTGCTGGGAGCTGATCCCTCAGACATCCTTTAGTCTGGAAGGAAATGCTTGGTAAAAAGTTAGGCAGCAAAAAGGAAAGAAGTGAACCCCCTTATCACTGGGGAGCCAGGCTGGCATTGCCAGAGTTAATTTTATTTACAAAACATAAAATGAAACTAAATGCACTAACTAAATGAACTAAATGAAACTAAAAGCACTCCTTCCACAAACACCTGTTCTTGGGTTAAATCGTGCCACCCTAAACTTTTTGTCTGCAATGTGTGGATCCAGGCTGGACTACTTGGAAAAGAGCAGGAAATTCGAAGATCGACTGAAAGAACTGAAGTCTGAAATTCATGCCCTGAAACTGGAGGAAAAACAGGCTGGGCTTTACAGTCATTGGAATGAAGTCCTGGGCTCCTTGGATCGCTCCTTAGGAAGTGTAAGAACCCTAAATCCCTGCCCCTTTCTCCAGCATCAACCCCAAAATGGAGCAGTGTGGGTGTGCCAAAGGGAGCTGCTGTATTCTAGTCCAAGCCTTAGTACCTTTGGTGATAAAATATTAGAAACATGAACACTTTTAGGGGAAAATTCATGTCAAAACAAAATCTTAAGGCCTTTTTCCTGCACACCTGAATACCAGGACCATCAGCAAAAAATAATCATCGTATTTTTTATGATTATGAAATCACAATCAGGGTTTAAGGTCTTGGAGCAAATGAAATTGTTGTGACTAATACATTTAAATGTGGTTTCTTACAGTTTGCCTCACATTCTCCTTCATGTGCTTTGTGGTTGCTGAAAGTCATAAAAGCCTTGGTATATTTTTTTTTTTTGAAGGCAATGAGGAACTAGACCCAGATTTTTGTCATAAGTTGCTTGTTATTTAAATAAACTCTTCAACTTCTTCCTGAAGCAGGGCAGGAATAGGGCTGGCTTTGTCTGCAGGTTGTTCCTCATGTAGCAAAAATGGCTCTGAGTCAATGGTTTTTTAGAGACAGGAGGGAGGCTTGAAAAACTATGAGGAAAGATGGCCTTTATTTTCTGACTACTCATCCGATGTTCTTTTTGGCTTAGTGAGTGTTGATACAGAGAGGGCATTAAATTTCCATGTGCTCTGTTCTTTTAAAGGCCCCATCATGGATGAAAACCTTCGAAACTGGAGATTCATTGGATGTAAATCTTCAAAGACCTTTCCCTGCTTACTTGTTAAACACTGCAAGCAGCTGGCCCTGCACCAACAAAACTCAGCACACGGTGCCTGTGGAGAAATCATCTTCCCAAGCCAATTCCTTGGCTGCCAGCAGTGTGGGCACAGGAAGCAGAAAACAGATTATAAAGGTAATCAGGTTCCTAAGCAAATTCCTGAATGTTGCCTGAAAGTTGAGGGTTCTGAGAGGGTGGCTGCCTGTAGGGACCTGGTTTGTCCTGCTCTGTCCCAGCCTCACAGCTGACAAGGCTTTTGCAGGATTTTGGAGCCCCTGGTGCTGGCACATCATTTGGGAGTGTTTATAACTCGAGGCTGCCTGTTTTTTCTCACTTCTGAGCTAAGCAGGAGTGCAAAGCTGTAAGCCTTGGTAAATGAAGCAGAGATGTCTGTACACAGTAGGAGGATCTGTGTTAAATTTTATTTGTACCAGCCAGACTTGGAAATGAGAAATGTGCTCCCAGGTACAGAGAGCTTAAAACATACTGTGCCTGTCTTCTGCTTTTAAAAGGCAGAGAGGAAGAGACAAATAAATACCCAGGCTCCCAACAGCTCCGTTCTCTTCCATGTGCTCCCTGTCAAAGAGGCCTGAAGAGCAATGAGCTGGGTATCAGGAGAAAAAAACCTGCTTTGAAATGTCACTGGACTGGAGAATGAAGAAGAGCTGTGAGGAAATGTGGTCTGGAACAGGGGGAAGGAAATCAGCTGTCTGTAGGCAATGCTAATTGGGCAAGGTATTGGGAATGAGGAAAGCCTGATGGATTTGCTGTGGTTTATCTGAACAAAACTGGAGGGGTTTAGGATCAATTAAAAGCTCCTGAATACAACATTCAATACCTCCTTGAGGGTTGGTGTGCTTAGAACTAAAGGACACAGCTGAGGGAGCAGCTCTTTCTGAGACAACAGAAGCAACTTTTAAGACTAAACTCGGGGGTGAGTTGTTTGTATTTGTTTAAAGAAGGAAGAAAAAGCTGTTGCAGAGCATCTTGCAAAAGGCTCCAGAGTTGGAGGAAATGAAGACCCAGACCAAAGGGAATTACTGTAAGCCAGCACTAATTCCCTCTCTTTGATTTGCCTGCAGGTTCAGCAGCATGACTCAGATGTGATCTACATTTGAAGCCCCTCCTTTCCTTACCAGCCTGGTGGCTTTTTTACCTCTGTGGGGACACTTGGGCAGCTCTGGCTGCTGCCAGGTGTGAGAGACAAGGCAGTGTGGATCCAGAGCTGCCATCCAGCTCCCAGGCAGGGGACATCAGCTGGGAATGCCACACGTGCCCCCAGTGGGGCTGGGAGCAGTTCAAACCCGGAGGAAATGTTGTTTACTACTTGTGCACTTTGGAAGGAACACTTCATACTTTGCTAAAACCCTTCCTCCCCCAGGTGTTTCACACACCTAGAGCTCTGCTGCTGGAGGAAGCATGTGAGGCAGCAAGTGCCCAGGAGGTGTTTGGGATGAGAAAACAGAACACAAGCTTGGTGCTTATCTCCACAACAGACTAATTGTGGTTTTGGTCCAGTCCCTGGGACACAACTCCCACAGAGCTGCTCGATGTTTTAGTGTTTGCCTGCCAAATATTTTCCTTCTCCTCCCCAAACATTTCTTGGTTCACTTAATTGATTTGCATTTCTCTGTGAGAAATCTCAGCTTTTAATTCCAGATGCAGAAGTGGACATCTTCAAATACCTCCCATTCCTGGGGGAATCCTTTGTTTGGAATGCAAAGCTTCTGTTCTTCCAGTCCCTGACTAGATCAAGCACTTTCTGCTCGAGCAAACTTTGCATACATTAACTGCCTTCCCACTTCTGTGCAACACAGCTCCCAAATTAGACAAAGACAAAAGATGCTGTTGGTGTCTGCTAAAGTGGGACTCGTTTCTGGTGGAGAGGTGCATGCAGCAAAGTGCCTGCCTCATTAGTAAAACCCCCTTGCATTTTCTGGTTTTGTGTGTGTTTGAGTGTCTGCTTCTCCATAAGACTTCACTCTGAGGACTGCTGGGGAAGCAGACAACATTAATGACATAAAGCAGGAGCCCAGCTGAACTTGTGACGTGTGATGTAAAAATGGGTGGTAATGTTCAATGTCTTGTTCTAACAGCTAAGATTAAAGAAAGAAACAGGTTCAATAAAAAGCTTCAATTTCCATTTGCTTTGAAGGGAGTGCAGTGTCAATATTCCTCCAGCATTAACGAGGCAGGTTTGGAGAACAAACACCCAGATCTCCTCTGTACACATCTGCAGCAGGCTGAGCACAGAGGGGGATGGCAGCTGCCTGTGGAGAGGGACAGGAGTGCCCTGCAGGGCTGCCCTGGCTGCTCCCAGCCCTGGGAGCATTTGCTGCCTTGGCTGGGTGGCTTGGGCTGAGTTCATTCTCTCCCAGCTCAATCTGGCACGAGATGTTTGCAGAATATTGGCTGTTATACACAATTTCTGAGCTGTCTGCAGAAGCCTGGTGTGTGTGAGAGGGAGAGAAGCTGTTGGAGATGCCAGAATGATGAGGCAGATGCTGTCGTGGTCCCAAGGCTGGGGAGGGGGCACTGGCCAGGATTTGGGACAGTGAACCATCTCCTGTATTAGCCAGGAAATGCTGCAGCAGCTTTGGATGTGGCATTCTCGGATTTGAGCGTGAGGAGAAATACTGGGATTCCCCTGGTTCTTCTTTTCCTGTTCCCTCTTTTCTTCTGGCATGTGTCTTCCCACAGCCAGCTGAGCTTGTACCCTCATCCTTCACACGTGCTGGGCCTTCCTTCTGCTCTTGTGTCTGAGCTGCACCACGGGGTGAGGAGACCTGCTCCATGTGCACCTTTGATTTATTTCTTTAGTCCTGTAAATCCCAGTGAAGAAAAGGACAAGCTGAAATATAAAACCTGCCTTTACCTGCTGTGTCCTTGCTGGGCATTGCTCCTGTGCAGCACCACGTTCCTGCAGGCTGGGATGGCTCTTTGGGGCTTTGGGATGGGGCAGGAGGAGCTGGGAGCTTTTTAGGTGGAGAAAGAGGAGCTGGGATGAGCTTGAGAAATGCACAGCCACACTTGGAGTCAGGTGTGCTGTGCCCTCACAGGGAGGCCAGTGCAAAGAGAAGTGCCAGCAGGGTGTTAATTTGCCTAAATCCTGAGTAAATATTTGCAGCAATTAAGTTTTGTAAGTTGGTGCTTCTGCTGCTCGCACTCACCTGCAGTATTGACCACAGGATCTGCGACTCTGCTTCAGCTGAGGGCAGTCTGAGGAGCCTGAGCCCTGGTTTGCCCCAAGAGAAGACAAATCCACTTTCTAACCAGTGACTGCAGGATTTGTCACCCTGAAGAGGGAGGAATTTCTCAGCTGCCTGGAGCAGCAGGCAGCAGATGGTGCTGCAATGCTGCTCTGCAACAGCTCGGGAAGACCTGGCTGGGAAACCCTCCTTGGGAATCTCTTCCAAGTCCTGTGTTCCCACACTAGCAGGCACTTGCTCCTGCTTTTCCTGGAGTTGAACCTGACATCATTTTTGACAGGGATTCAAAATCTGTGAGCTCTGGGAAGGGATGACTGCATGAGCAGCTCGGTCCTGTGGGGATGAGCCAGCTCCCCCAGTTGCAAAAAAAAACCCAATCCCCTGATGTTTCTGACACCTCATTGTCATTGTCAGGCTGTGGAAATGGCCTGGGTGGATTTCACCCCTGACTGCCAGGAGCGTATGGAACCCCACAGCTCTGGTGCTATGTGATATTTTTATTAATGCTGCTTGAAACAAGCACGGATTTGTTAAATTTGCGGAGCGTGGAAGAATGGTGGTGTGCAGTGCAAAGAGGGTGAGTGAGAGGCCTGAGAATGGGTCACAGGAGTCACTGAACAATTTCATCCTTTGTTTTCCTGCTGGAAAGGACACCATGTTCTCATCTCAAAACAGTGAAAAAATGGGAGAAAAAATCCTGCAGCAGTGAGGAGGTGCTGGGACATCACCTGGAGAGAGGGGAAGTCTGTTCCTAGAGTGACACAGCGAGTGGAAGTTGAGTCTCCCCAGCTCTGCTTTCACTATTTCTCTGAAAAACCATGTGCTCTAACCCCACGGGCCTCTCCCTTCCCTCAGAAACCCTTAGATGGGAACTGTGTAGATGGGAAGCTCCTCAGGCTGCTCCTGAGCCATAGAAGGCAGCAAATCCTTGGGGACAGCACATCCTCTGCTGGGACCCATCTCTCAAAAACCAGATGATTTTCAGCTCTTGGCTGATCCAGGGTTGACCTGGCCCTGGAATTTGGGCACTATCACACATGTGGCTGAGTCATCCTGATCTTCTCCTGCTCTGGGTGGCCAGCAGCAGGATGAGTTCACATCTTGCCTGTTGCAGAATCACCCAGAGAGCCAAATCCTTCCTCTTCCTCCTTGCAGAAATTCCTGTGTCTGGTGTGTTCCTCTGCTTCTCCCCAGCCCTGTGCCCTCTGAGGCACTGAGGTCTGCTGGATTTTGTACCCAAGGTATTTGCTGGGGGCTGTGTTCTTCCCAGAGCATCCCTGGCACTTGTGCCCCAGCCTCAGGAGTGTGCATGGAGCTCCAGGCTGGCACCTGCAGTTTGTCATTGTCACCTGAGCCCCCAGCCTGCTGCTCTTGGTGGTGGGGACACCATCCTGCTGTGGGGACAGCTGTCCTGAGTCCTTGCTTGCAAAAATCACTATTTTTTCACTCAGCTCTATGGGTAAAAGCAGGCCCAGAGGCAAAACCCGTCTGTGTTCTGTTATTTCTGGTTCTCTGCACTGTCTGGACTCTTTCCCACCTTCCTGCAAGGCATTTTTGGGGGTAGCAGGGCCAGCTCTTTGGAGGGGCTGTGGGCACACAGGGGAGCTCACCCTGGGTCTGCACTGAGGCATTTAGCCCAGGGTAAAAAGCGGTTTTCACACCAAAAAGCACTTTGAATCAGGAGTGATTCCTCTCCTGGGAGGAGGAAGCTTTGTCATGCTGAATTACACCCAGCAGGGTCCAGCCATGGAGGCTGCAGGAAAAAAGTGGCTCTGAAAAGGATGGGGAAGGGCTGATGGTCACCATTACTCCTGGCTTGGTCCTAAAAGCAAAGCAAAGGTTTGACAGTGTGTCCTGCTGGGGAATTCACAGAGGGAAAAACTGGGGGAAAAGCAGGAGAGAGTGTCCAGAGAGACAGCTTTAGCTGGGATTTGGGAGTGGAGGGATGCTGTGGGTACTGGGATTCACAGATTGGGGAGGGGGGGGGATAGAAGTAATTCTCCCTAAAATGTGAGTCAGTCCCACATCCTGTGGTTGAAAAGGAAAGGGATCCAAGCAGACCCCAGGATTAGTCTTTTTCCCAGTAAACTCGAAAGAGAAATTCCAGAGAAAGGGGAAGTCGAGAGAAAAAGCCTGAAAATTTAAAATAGTGCTATAAAAATCTTTCAACTCAGCAGTGAGGTGGCCCAGGAAGCTCTGAGGGACTTGATCAGAGATGAGGATGTGGAGGAAACCGAAAGGAGAGGAATAAAGAAATAGAAACCTCTGATGATCCCACAGCAGATTTGGTGTTCCAAAGGACTGCAGCGATGGTGACACATCCCTGGGGATGTGCAGCAAGGCCAGAGAGCTGGGATGGGCACACACAGGGAGTGTGGAGAGTAAAAGGTTGGAACCACAGAATTAATGCAGCCCTGGGGAGCTGAAACAACAAGGGGTCAGCTTAGGGGATGGGGGTGCCTGCACCACCTGAGGTTGCCTCAGCTCTGCTCCTTCAGGGCACAGAAAGAGGGGTGTTAGAGGTGGATGTGCCCAAAAAGGATATTCTGGAGGAAATCTGGCAGAAGTGCTGTTATTCTGTGGTTCCAGACTGAAGGGTTGAGCTGAGCCAGTTTCAGGGTGAAGCAAAAAACCCAAAACTCCTACCAAAACCCCAAAACCACTGAAACCACCTCCAGGCCTGGAGGGGAGCAGGTGGATCTGGTGCTTTTCCTGGGAAGGAGAGCAGTTTGCTGGTGGTGGGACAGCCTTGGAGAGCGCTGGATTCCACAGCAACCCCTTTCCAAAGGAAAGTTTGGGAAACAGGGCTCTGGGAACAGGCTCTTGTCAAGACAATCCAGTTCACCCTGGGAAGGAGCCTCAGCTCCAGTCTGGATGGTTTGTGTGAGGTGCTGGTGGGGCTGGTGTCCATGGGAGCAGTGCTTGGTTTTCATCTTGGGTCAGAAACCTGCATGAGATCCTTACAACATCCCTATGCAAAGCTGATTTCCCCTCTGTTGGTATTCCCAGGCAGCTTCCAGCCTGTCTGGTGCATTCCCATGGATCAATCCCTCGTTTTTCAACCCAAACCTTTTGCATTTAACCCTTTTCATGTTGTTTAACCTCAGATGTGTGCTGAGGGATTTTCCCTGCCCCAGACATTCCCAGCTCCCAAACTGGGTGAGTGGCTGTTCCTGTTACCCCTGTCCCCAGCAGCAGGATCCTGCTCTGCGCTGCCTTGGAGCCCTCCTCCATCCCTCAAGGTCATTCAGATCCTTTTGTGTGATGTCCTGGCCTGCTCTAGATTGATGATCCCATCTCGTTTTGCCTCGTCAGCACATTTCCCCGGCCTTCTCCTGCTTTGTGTGCCAAGGTCATTAATGCAAATGTCAAGCAGGATATTTTTTGAGGCAGGAACTCAAGGAACTGTGTGGGTAAGCCCCTCTGAGTGTGACACAGCCCCTTTCAGCTGAAGCAATTACCATGCCCTTTTCAGTCAGCTCTTGACCAAATTTACTGTTCGTATGCCAGTCACATCTTCTCTGCCTTTGCTCATAATTTACTATCTGGCCTTAATTCAAGTGTCTTCCTGAAGCCCAGATGAGTGAAATCTGCTGCATTTCCTTCCCCACAAATACCTCTGAACTTACAGAAGGCAGCTATCATCAGTGTGGTATTTAAAACATGTCAGGATGGTAAGTTCAAACAAAACCAGTTTCAATTATATCAGTGTGCCTGTTAATGAAGAGCTGGGTGGCACAGAAATTTGGGTGCTGTGTCCTGGATGGGTGCCCTGTTTGGGTGACAAACTGGCTGGTGGTGTCACCAGTGGTGTGGGACAGCAGAGCTGGGGGAGGATCTGAAGCTCAATTTTATTTTTTATTTTTTTTTTTAGGTATTTGCTGATGGATTCAACATGAGAATAATGCTGGTTTATGGCACACTGGTGTTTTAGCTGTTCCTAAGTGGTGTTTTCCTTCATCAAGGACTCAGGAGCTGCTGTGAGGCAGCAGAGCCAGGACAGGTGATCCAAGCTGACCAAAGGATTTTCCATCCCAGAGAACATCACAGCCCAACTCTCTTGTGGCACCACAGGTACTTCCTGGGCATTCCCCAAACAAGAGCCAGCACTGGCAGCCCCAGGTGAGACACTGGTGTCACCTCTGGGGACAAATTGGGTGGCACCAGAGCTGGACCCCAGGAACAGCAAACCCAGGGGTCCCTGTGGTCCCTTCTCCCACCTTGGTGCAAGCAGGCATCCAAGCTGACCCCTCATTAACAGACACACAGATATGATTGAAATAATCTTTATTTTAGCATATTATTCTGACATTGTTTAAATAACTTTTGTGCTTAGAAAAAGAATATTTAGTTTAACTTAAATAAGTTAAATAAAATAATTTTCCCCGTTGAGGAAGGCTGGGGGTCAAATCCTCTCAGTTGTGGCCGAGGCTGGAAGCTGTGCAGGGGTGGGATGGTGGCTGTCAGCAGGGAAGGCTCAGTTTCCCAGGCTCTGGAAGTGCTTCAGGAGCTCCTGCACCCACGGTGCCCGTGGATCTGCACACACCTGCTTGTCCTTCTTGGTGACCACACTGCCGGGACAAAGCCTGCCTTCAGCTGCCGGGCCGAGGCACTGGGAGCTGTGTCCCCTGGGTGTCCCCTGGGTGTCCCCTGGGTGTCCCCACGTCCCCCCACACCCCTGGGCACCCCTGGCAGTGCTGGGTACTCACATCACGCCCCGCTGCGTGCAGGAGCTGCTGGTGATGAAGACGGAGCTGACACGGCGCCGAGGGATGGGCTGCTTCTGGTAGCTGAAGCAGCAGGTGCTGGGGACACCATCTGTGAGGGCAGGGGACAGACACACGGCCCTGGTGAGACCCCAGCTGCAGCACAGCCTCTGCCCCCTCCAGGGATTTGCCATCTCGTGCCACATCCCCTGGCAGAGCCCCCTCCAGGAATCACCCCCAGCTCCAAACCTGCATCCCCCAGTGTGGCACAGAGCCCCCCAAAACATCCCCACAGCCACCAGGGTCCCCCTGACGGGGCTGGGACCCTGCAGAGAGGCTGGACTCACCGAGGTGACCCTCAGATGGGGAGCAGGTGGCCAGGAGGAGCAGAGTGACCAGGGTGGCTGCCAGGACCTTCATGGTGCTGAGTGTTCTGTCAGAGGAGCTGTCAGGGGAGGCTGCAGGGCTCTCTCTGCGGCCTCTGGGGCCGTGCTCTCCTTTTATCCCCATCCGAGGGGAGGGTGCAGGGTTTCAAAGAAAGAAAGTGAGGGCATCATACCAGGGAAATTATGTCAGGATCACCCAGTTTCGCTGAGCTGGAAAAGGCGAGGAAACCGCAGAAGGGGAAGCGCCGGCCACGAGGCTGCGGCTTTGGAGATGCTCCTTGGTGCCTGCTGCTCCCAAACTGTGTCAGGGCTGTGGAACAGCCCTGGGGATGAAATAACCCAGCTCAGGCGCCCTGGCATGGACACTGCCAGGAGACAGATGCCAGCTTCTCCCTGGGTTTGCCACAAATTCCCCTTCTCACCCTGCTCCACCACGAGGATCCAGAGTGAGGACCACAACCACTGCACACACACTGATAACACCAGCCCCTGCTTGGATGGGGAAAATCATGAGGGAAGGAGGTTGTGTTGAGCTAGAAGTCACTGTGGGTCTCACATCTGTCCCTTTTTGCTGGTGATTGATCAAAAGAACAATTTCCTTACTGGAAAGGCTGTGGAGACATGGAGTTCCTGCAGGTGCAGGGCCTGGACTCTGGTGCCCTGATCCAGGCCAGCAGCCTGCCCTGCCACCCTCCCTGTCCCCTGGCTGGATTTACACCTCTCTGAGGGATTCAGTTTTGGCTGCAGCCTGCCCTGCCACCCTCCCTGTCCCCTGGCTGGATTTACACCTCTCTGAGGGATTCAGTTTTGGCTGCAGCCTCTCAATGCTCAAGTTGTTGCAATAACTGCTTGCCCACTCCTTCCCAAGCAGCATCATTTAATCCAATTTAATCTCTCCTGGTTTAGCCCCAAAAACAAAACCCCCTCTGTCAGGGACAGCATTAAGAGCAGGAGCCAGAGGAAGGAGAGGATCCTGCTGGTACCCACTGGGATCAGCTCCTTGCAGATAAAATCTCCAGAAAACTGGAGAGTGACTGAGAAAGGACAGCATTTGCAATGCCAGAGGGTAATTCCCAAACCTCCCCCCCTCCTCTGCTGCACACCCAGACAGAGTGAGCTGCCAAAATCACTCCTTCCTCCATTTACTTTGCTTTTCCCAGCCTTTTCCTGATGCTGCCACAGGCGTTTTGCAGTTACCATGCAAACCCCAGCTTCCCCTGGCCTTGCTGCTGACCCTGCCTCGGCTGTGACTAATTCCTGACTGATTCAAGGGAAAAGCCCAGCAGCCCAAAATGCTGAGCCATGGCAGTGCCTGTGCTCCCAGCCCCACTTCTTGTCCAGCAAAGCTTCCCCAGCCTCGGGGTTGTGGGAGCATCTGTGGGACAGAGGTGGGGATGGCTGCAAATCATCTCCTGGGGTTCTTCAGGAGGAGCTGGCCAGTTCTGATCTGCCCTTGGGCTGGTGGAAGAACAGATCCAGCTGTTCCAGCTCTTTCTCCCAATTTTCAGTTATTTCTGTTTCAGCTACTCTGGGAATGGGGTTACAAACGAATAAATAAATAAATCCTTTGGATTTAACAATAACCGGTGTCTCTGGTGCCTTTTTTCCAACCTGGAAATGTAACTCAAGATCATTTTAGTAAGGAGGTAATGTAAAAGTGGATTTTTATTTGAATGCCTTCAGGAGCAGTTATAAAAAGATGTCTACAAAAGCCCACACCCCAGGGGTGAGCAAGTTTTTATTGGTTTTAGGAAATTAGCATAATTGATAAAAACCACTAATTAGGAGGACAAGTGGTGATGCAGTTTCTCTTCAGGTCAAGCCTTTTTTCTGGAGTTCCTCCCTCTGCACTAGCTGTACTTTACCCATGGAAATGTATCTGGAAGAATTGTTCTCAGCCTTGGTTCCCTGGAAGAACCGAGAGAGCGCTGGGGCCTTGGAGCTCTGGATCTTGTTTTGTCTTTCTGCCTAGGGAAAGGCCATGGAAAATTCCTGGGGTAATCAGCCACTAATGCAGTGGGTGACACAGAGTTACAAATAGATGTGTGTGAGGAATGCAGAGAACATGTAAAAGAGAAAAAGGCAAAGCCCAAAAGGCATCGTCTCCCTCTGTGGTGGTTCAGGAAGGCTTGGAAAGTTCACCTGCTGTAAATGCTCCTGCTTGTCACATGGCCCTGGATGCACAAAGGCAGAAGGAAGGGACTCAAATCCCTAAACTAATGCAGACCTACATGAGTTCACTCTGTTTTTCTGCCCTGCTGGCTGCAGAGACACCGAGGGGTTTCTCTAGGGCTCAAAGCACCCTCTGTGAGCACAGGAATCCCAAACTCAGCCAGTGGAACCTTTTTTGTGTTTTTGTGACTCTCTCTGCCTGTAAACCCCACATGTCCCACAGAGATTTCCCCACACCTCTGCCCTGGAATTGTGGCACCTCTCTGCCCTCATTCAACCACAGGAATGAGATCCTGAGCCATCCAAACCCTAGGCTGGGATTTTTTTATGGAGAGAACAGCCCTGAGCCAGGGATGGAGCTTGAGCTTCCAAGCCCTGAGCTTGGCTTGGATCAGAGGGAAAAGGGGCAGGATGGGCCAGAGAGCAGCACTGGGGGGACAAGAAGAACCAGGAGCGTGGTGAGGAATATCCCACAGCCAGAAAAGGCTGGAAGCTGAGATCAGGGCACTGTGGGCACTGCAGTTTCCAGAGGGTGACTCGTCATCCGGCAGGAACCACGGAAAATCTCACCATTAATAGACTATTTCTGATGGAAAAGGCAAAAATATTTCCTCTTTGCTGCAGAAGTGACCGGCCAAACTTTCGGTTCTCCATTCAGCTGAGGGCCGGATGGGACTTCTTACTGGATGCTGATGAAATACTTTCCATTGTGACTGGAATCGAGGATATTACTGTGAATTGCACAAAAGTGCAGCTCAGCAAGAGCTCAGTTTGTCTTTAATTCTGTTTAAGGAATTAGATATAAGGAACTGATATAAAGGGAGAGTAAAGAAATGACTGGTGGTTTTATTTCTCCTGCCATGGAACACCTCTGAATGCACGTTTGAATGCAGCAGAGGAACACAAATTTGAGGGGCAGGAAACACAGGGAAAGAGAAACTTCAGCTTTATAAAAGCAAAATTGAGAAACTAAAGAGAGAAAGAGCCAGTTAGGGAGGGGAGTGAAGTGCATTTTTTGAATTTCTCTCATTGTGTTTCTCCAAAGACTCCACGAAGATTTCCAAATAGGAAGTGGTATTCTCATCCCCTTGTTTCTGCACTTGAGATTNCCACAAATTCCCCTTCTCACCCTGCTCCACCACGAGGATCCAGAGTGAGGACCACAACCACTGCACACACACTGATAACACCAGCCCCTGCTTGGATGGGGAAAATCATGAGGGAAGGAGGTTGTGTTGAGCTAGAAGTCACTGTGGGTCTCACATCTGTCCCTTTTTGCTGGTGATTGATCAAAAGAACAATTTCCTTACTGGAAAGGCTGTGGAGACATGGAGTTCCTGCAGGTGCAGGGCCTGGACTCTGGTGCCCTGATCCAGGCCAGCAGCCTGCCCTGCCACCCTCCCTGTCCCCTGGCTGGATTTACACCTCTCTGAGGGATTCAGTTTTGGCTGCAGCCTCTCAATGCTCAAGTTGTTGCAATAACTGCTTGCCCACTCCTTCCCAAGCAGCATCATTTAATCCAATTTAATCTCTCCTGGTTTAGCCCCAAAAACAAAACCCCCTCTGTCAGGGACAGCATTAAGAGCAGGAGCCAGAGGAAGGAGAGGATCCTGCTGGTACCCACTGGGATCAGCTCCTTGCAGATAAAATCTCCAGAAAACTGGAGAGTGACTGAGAAAGGACAGCATTTGCAATGCCAGAGGGTAATTCCCAAACCTCCCCCCCTCCTCTGCTGCACACCCAGACAGAGTGAGCTGCCAAAATCACTCCTTCCTCCATTTACTTTGCTTTTCCCAGCCTTTTCCTGATGCTGCCACAGGCGTTTTGCAGTTACCATGCAAACCCCAGCTTCCCCTGGCCTTGCTGCTGACCCTGCCTCGGCTGTGACTAATTCCTGACTGATTCAAGGGAAAAGCCCAGCAGCCCAAAATGCTGAGCCATGGCAGTGCCTGTGCTCCCAGCCCCACTTCTTGTCCAGCAAAGCTTCCCCAGCCTCGGGGTTGTGGGAGCATCTGTGGGACAGAGGTGGGGATGGCTGCAAATCATCTCCTGGGGTTCTTCAGGAGGAGCTGGCCAGTTCTGATCTGCCCTTGGGCTGGTGGAAGAACAGATCCAGCTGTTCCAGCTCTTTCTCCCAATTTTCAGTTATTTCTGTTTCAGCTACTCTGGGAATGGGGTTACAAACGAATAAATAAATAAATCCTTTGGATTTAACAATAACCGGTGTCTCTGGTGCCTTTTTTCCAACCTGGAAATGTAACTCAAGATCATTTTAGTAAGGAGGTAATGTAAAAGTGGATTTTTATTTGAATGCCTTCAGGAGCAGTTATAAAAAGATGTCTACAAAAGCCCACACCCCAGGGGTAAGCACACTTTTTATTAGTTTTAGGAAATTAGCATAATTGATCAAAACCACTAATTAGGAGGACAAGTGGTGATGCAGTTTCTCTTCAGGTCAAGCCTTTTTTCTGGAGTTCCTCCCTCTGCACTAGCTGTACTTTACCCATGGAAATGTATCTGGAAGAATTGTTCTCAGCCTTGGTTCCCTGGAAGAACCGAGAGAGCGCTGGGGCCTTGGAGCTCTGGATCTTGTTTTGTCTTTCTGCCTAGGGAAAGGCCATGGAAAATTCCTGGGATAATCAGCCACTAATGCAGTGGGTGACACAGAGTTACAAATAGATGTGTGTGAGGAATGCAGAGAACATGTAAAAGAGAAAAAGGCAAAGCCCAAAAGGCATCGTCTCCCTCTGTGGTGGTTCAGGAAGGCTTGGAAAGTTCACCTGCTGTAAATGCTCCTGCTTGTCACATGGCCCTGGATGCACAAAGGCAGAAGGAAGGGACTCAAATCCCTAAACTAATGCAGACCTACATGAGTTCACTCTGTTTTTCTGCCCTGCTGGCTGCAGAGACACCGAGGGGTTTCTCTAGGGCTCAAAGCACCCTCTGTGAGCACAGGAATCCCAAACTCAGCCAGTGGAACCTTTTTTGTGTTTTTGTGACTCTCTCTGCCTGTAAACCCCACATGTCCCACAGAGATTTCCCCACACCTCTGCCCTGGAATTGTGGCACCTCTCTGCCCTCATTCAACCACAGGAATGAGATCCTGAGCCATCCAAACCCTAGGCTGGGATTTTTTTATGGAGAGAACAGCCCTGAGCCAGGGATGGAGCTTGAGCTTCCAAGCCCTGAGCTTGGCTTGGATCAGAGGGAAAAGGGGCAGGATGGGCCAGAGAGCAGCACTGGGGGGACAAGAAGAACCAGGAGCGTGGTGAGGAATATCCCACAGCCAGAAAAGGCTGGAAGCTGAGATCAGGGCACTGTGGGCACTGCAGTTTCCAGAGGGTGACTCGTCATCCGGCAGGAACCACGGAAAATCTCACCATTAATAGACTATTTCTGATGGAA